AAAAAAAAAGTACAAGTCTGTATTTCTCAGATTGCTCTCTGTAGGAGGTTCTGGATATGAATTTAAATTCCACCAGTAAGGTGCCCTTGGATGAGATTGAGATGATGGATGAGAAGCAATGGCCATTTTCCTGCTTCTTTGGGTCTTTCTGCTGGTGAGTATAGTCTTGCAGACTTCGTGTTTTCCTGTTGCAGTGTACCTTTGTCTAGTCTACCTTAGTAAGTGTCAAAAGGTAACGGTTGTGATGTAAAAGTAGCTTTCTGACCCTTACCTCATAGCTACAGGGTGTGTTCTTTAAGTCAACAGCTTCAGTGCTGGTCTCCCCATTTCCTATTACCTTAATTTAACATAAGTGTTACCCCCCTTGGTGGGGCAGTGCTATTGTGGTATCCTAGGAGTGTTTTTTAGAGGCCCAACCTAAATCTCACTCTTTCAGCCCTTGAAATAATTTTGTAAGCACCTGGTGCATGGGTGAATTTAACATCTGTTTAAAATAGCCACAGTGGTTTCTATTTCCTGCAACTGAACCCTTACTGATGCATTTTCTTCTAGCACCCATTGTTGTGGAGAATATTTGGCATCAATCTGGTTGTTATTCTTTATTTGGGATAATTTATCTTTCCTCTCTAGTGGCTTTTAGGATGTTTCCTTAGTCCTGAATGTTGTTCAGTTTAACTGAAGGGGCCTATGAGTATATTTTGTGTGCATTTATATTTCATTCTACTCACCACTTGGGGGTTTTGCTATGTTTGGCACAAATGCAGACCCTGCATAGAGCACAGTACAGACTCAGGAATTGAGAGTCTTGATGATGACTCTGTTTAAATCCATGGTTTGGGCAGGGAACTCACTTTCAGGAGAGACCGAAGGTGGGCATGTCAAGACATTCTGGTTCCAATTCACAGTAAACAGCATACTTCTGCCTTCTAGATCTATATGGAGCACCTAGTTCTGGCTCCCTACCACATGTAGTACCTGACTGCAGCTTTGCTCAGTCTCCTGGCTTTTCAGCCCTGTTTTCCATCCTATCCTCCAAGGGCTGTATAGCTTCAGGTCTCACTCACTGTGTAGCATTCTCTCTGCTTCTGGGTCCTGGAGCTTTCCCATTTTACTTTTGGGAATGGCTAATATTTTAAAAAATATTTTCAAGACTGGGTGTGGTGGCTTATGCCTGTAATCCTAGCACTCTGGGAGGCCAAGGCAGGGGGATCATTTGAACTCAGGAGTTCAAGACCAGCCTGAGCAAGAGCGAGACCCTGTCTCTACTAAAAATAGAAAGAAATTAGCTGGATAACTAAAAATATATAGAAAAAATTAGCCGGGCATGGTGGCACATGCCTGTAGTCCTAGCTACTCAGGAGGCTGAGGCAGAAAGATTGCTTGAGCCCATGAGTTTGAGGTTGCTGTGAGCTAGGCTGATGCCACAGCACTCTAGCCTGGGCAACACAGTGAGACTCTGTCTCAAAAAAAAAAAATTTCAAAATATGTTGTCTATTGTAACAATATGTTTGGAAAAGAGGGTGGGGATGGAATGGGTCAGAGTGGCATTCAGGGTAAGTACAAGCTGATATCCTGACCTGAAGTTGTTACCCATCACTCAGTGATAAAAGGCACATCTTATTTACTTTTTTGTTTTTTTAAAAAATTACTCCCCATAGTTGAAAAGAGCTATACAGATAACCAATAGGCATATGAAAATATTTACTCCTGATTACGTATTCAAAGGAAGGCAAAATAATAGATCAAAATAAACTATTTATACTTATCATATTGAGAGATTTACAAACCTGTTGTGAGACTTTGGTACGGGTAAAGGGAAGGAGAAGAAGCAAAGGATCAAGTTCTCTGCCTTAGGAGACAGATTTAACTCTAGCCATAAATTAGAGATGATGAAGAAGGAAATGTTTTAGGCCAGGCGAGGTGGCTCACGCCTGTAATCCTAGCAGTCTGGGAGACTGAGGCGGGAGGATCGCTCAAGGTCAGGAGTTTGAAACCAGCTCTGAGTAAGAGGGAGACCCCGTCTCTACTAAAAATAGAAAGAAATTAATTGGCCAACTAAAAATATATAGAAAAAATTAGCTGGGCATGGTGGTGCATGCCTGTAGTCCCAGCTACTCGGGAGGCTGAGGCAGGAGGATCACTTGAGCCCAGAAGTTTGAGGTTGCTGTGAACTAGGCTGATGCCACGGCACCCTAGATAGGGCAACAAAGTGAGACTCTGTCTTGAAAAAAAAAAAAAAAGAAGGAAATACTTTAGAAAAGTGAGAGGTTAAATGAAACATTACATTGATCATTAAGAGAGAGAAATGCACCCAGCCTGAGGAAGTGAAAGGCAGTAACAAATTTTTAAAAATCTGTTGTGATCCAGAATTGCCACCATTATCTCCCAAAACTCTGATTTCTGACTGGATTGAGTAGAGTAACTTGGTACCACAATTCTGGAGGGTATCAAAAGCCCTATAAGTATGCATATTATTTGGCCCACTTCCAGGAATATATATTAAGGAATTGATCATGACTGTGCTCCAGCATTTATCCACAATGACAATGACACTGCATCACTTATAAACACAAATAAAATAACAACAAAAAGCAAACCACCACTCCCAAACAAAGGAAAACAACAAAGAGGCATGTGAGAATATATGATGAAACCTTCACACAAGAGATACTAGGTAGCATTGGATGTAGAAAAATACTTAAGAACATGATAAGATAAACATGAAGTGGTGGAAGCAGGTTTCAAAGTAGTATGTTTCTAATTTTACATATATAAAATATGCACATAAAGTGAAAATTCATGGAAAACCAAACAGTCTCCCTTGGGGTGGGGTGGCGTAGGTGTAGGATGGGAGTGTGCATGCCCTTTATATTTCTCTTTTTCTTATCCGCTCTGGTGCCCCCTGGAACTGCATGTTTAGCTGCTGTCTTGCTTTCTCCTGATGCAGTTGCTTAGGTCCCAGTCTCCAGAGATGGGACAGAGGGAAGATAGGTGGGCCCATCTCAGCAAGGCCCCAGGCCTGTTCCCCAAGCCCTAGATTTCTTTTTTTTTTTTTTTTTTTTTTTTTTTTTTTTTTGAGACAGAGTCTCGCTTTGTTGTCCAGGCTAGAGTGAGTGCCGTGGCGTCAGCCTAGCTCACAGCAACCTCAAACTCCTGGGCTTGAGTGATCCTTCTGCCTCAGCCTCCCGAGTAGCTGGGACTACAGGCATGCGCCACCATGCCCGGCTAATTTTTTATATATATATCAGTTGGCCAATTAATTTCTTTCTATTTATAGTAGAGACGGGGTCTCGCTCTTGCTCAGGCTGGTTTTGAACTCCTGACCTTGAGCAATCCGCCCGCCTCGGCCTCCCAAGAGCTAGGATTACAGGCGTGAGCCACAGCGCCCGGCCAAGCCCTAGATTTCTTATGTCTCCTGGACCTCACCCAGAAAGGACAGGGTCATCTTCCACCTTTGCCAATCCTCCTTCTTTCCAGCCCGATTCCCTGCCGGTCCAGGGGGCATTGGGGGCTCCAGAAAAGAGCTTCTGCTTGGGGATCTATTTCAGACTGGGCTCCCATCCTTGGGTTCTCTGTGAAATGGGGATAACGGTTAGGTGGTGCGCCTAGCGCGGTGCCCAGAACACGGCAGGCTCTCATCAGGTGCCAGTCCCCTTCACTTGGTTCCCTTTCCTCAAAGTAACAAGGCTGCTCCAGGTGAGATGTGATGACAAATATTTTAAGACTTCACATTACATGCCCGCAAGGACCCCGAAGGATCCTTCCTAAAACCCGTGGGTGTGCAGGGGTTGCCTGGGGCCACACAGTCACAGGTGGAAGAGGTGAGCTCAGGTCACAGGGCTTTGATCTTCTGGGCACCACTTTTCACCAGGGCAGGGCTAGCCTGCCTGTCCTCCTCTGTAGCAGGGGGCGGGATGAAGGGTGGGAGGGGTGGTCCTCCCTCTCGACGAGGCCTAGGACCCAGCTCTGGGCTGATCATCTCCCCTCTTGGTTTGCTGAGTGAAGACGTCCCAGCAGTGGGCATGGGACCATCAGGGACTGAACAGAACCATCTGGATGAAGGGGAGGGAAGCTCAAGGACTGAGGTCCACCCTTCCTGTGGGTGGCACATGCCACAAGGCATCACCACCAGTGCTGTTGGAAGGGTCCTTCTTGTCAGAGTGCTCTGAACCCTGGGTAGCCCTTGGCGACAGGTAGGGAGTGGACCCAGGGCCCCTAATCCTAGGCTGTGCTCCTCAGTATGAGCATAGCACCCTGTCCTCAAGATGCCTCCCCACTAGCTCTGTGCCCCTTCCTCTAACATGCCCCGCTGCCCTCCTCCCCAGCCCTCTGCCCTCCTGCCAGACCTACTCCCCAGTCCCCTGCCATCTGCCAACCCCTGCAGCTGCTGCAGCTCCAGAGTCCTTGGCCAGGTTTCTTTGGGGACCCATGGGGAGTGGAGCTCTCACAGGACAGAGTTTGGGTCCAAGGTGGGGGAAGGGACATGGGCTCTGGGACCCTGTGGTTTATCTACTCCAAGACTCCAGAGCCACATGGCTGGCAGGGAGAGACCCCTGACAGGGAGAGGAGTGTCAGGGATACATAAAATGACCAGCAGACAGTCTGTTTCACTTCACTTCACCCTTGGGGCTCAACTGAATGCAGCACTTTTGAACACTAGGCTATAAAATGGAAAAAAAAGGCTTATGTTTTAGGTCATTTGAACAAAGGCTGTGAAGGGGTCAAACTGCCACCTTCTTGGGCCAGGTTAGGCTGCTGCCTGCTTCTCCCTGGACAGTGTTCTGGGTCACTTTAGGTCTTGGCACAGCTTCTGAAGAGGAAACAAGTTCCCTGCCACAGCCCCAGGCCCCTGTCCCCGCCCAGGCCTGGCCCCGGCCCCCTGAGCCCCTTTGAGGCTTGTCCCCGCCAAGCTCCTGGCCATCAGAGCTGGTGACCTCACCACCGGGCCTCTCTCTTCCCAGGCTATTGCATCACACCCACCAGAAACAGGAGGCCTCCAGTCGGGATTGTCGTTTACTGAATCAAGGACTTATTTTTTTTTAAACTCAGACAAACGATAAGACGTGACAACACCAGAAACAAGAACATTTCTCCGACCAGCCTGTGCTGACCAGTACAGTGAATCACACGCAGAAAGGACGTCATTCTGGTCGGTGTCGGAATTTGCAGAAGCTCTGCCTGGAAAACAGACTGCAAATAAATAAAGTGCAGGGAGACCCCCTCACGCAGCAAGGGCCGGTGGGGCAGAGAGAGGTGGGAGGGGAGGCATGAAAGCTGCAACACGCCACCACCTGGCGTGGCCACCACCTGGTGTGATGGGCCAGAAAGTGGGGCAGGAACAAGATGCGGAGGGCCAGTCTTTGGGGCCAGCACAGCTCTAGCTGAAGCAGATGCAGATGTGGCCCTTTGCAGGGGTTGGAGCTCTCTGCAGTGGGGACCTCTGAGGACAGGGACGCCTGAGGCTCATTTCTCCCTGTTGGAGAGCAGCCTCCTTGCCCTGGCTGGAACCCTCCACCCCCGATTTGCACAGGGAGGACTCAGAGCCCAGAGAAGCTCCTCCTGCTCAACAGCTCCATCCCCGCCCATGCAGCACGCACGCAGGAGCAGTGCACGCAGGAACTCACGCACACAGTGTGTGTGTGCGCACGCGCGCTCTCTGTTATGAGCCCTCCTCCTCCCTTCCTGGATGGCCCAGGAAGAGGCTGGGGCTGGGCATCTAGTCACCCAGAGGGTGAGATCAGGGCTGGAAAGGGTCACATCTGAGTGTCAGACCCAAGGAGGCTCCTCACACCCCCTCTGCGCTCCTGCAGCCCCGAGTCACTTTTGTCCCTCAGAGGCGCCCCAAGGTCTGTGCATGGGGTCAGCAGGCTGACAGGGCGTCCAGGGTGGACAGGGTTGGGTGGATGAGAAGGGCCAGCAGGACACTTGGCACAAAGAAGCACACCATCGGGCCCTGGCTGTGGGCAACCGCAGGGGCACATGGCAGCCACCGTCCAGCCTCATCCCGGGGTGAGGCAGCCAGAGGTCTTCATTCGGGTCCTGGCTCCAGCGGGCAGCTGAGGAGGGCAGATGGCAGGAGGCTGGGCCACTCTGCCTTGGGGCTGGCCAGACTGGTGCAGTTCTCAGTTCCAGGAACTGAGAACATGGGCCTCGAGCTACCAGTGCCAGAGATGTGGGAACGGGGATGGGGGCCTCGGGCTGCTCCTGGCCATTTGGGTACACCAGTTAGCAGCATGCCCTGGGCCCCCAGGACCAATCCTAGCCCATCTCGACGATATCCTTCTGTGATCCTGGGCATGGGGGACTGAGCCTGGGGACAAAGAGATAGGATCATGCCATGGGTCCCAGTAACATACTACCCCAGGTTTATCCCTTCACCCTCCTTGTTATGTCATGCCCCAGAAGCCATACCGCCCCATCACCCCCACTCTGCCGCCAAACTGAGAGGCTTGTGCCACTCAACTGCTGAGGAGTCCTTGGTCAGGCTTGGGTGAGGCTGGGCTCCGAGGTGAAAACTTGGTTTCCCAGGGCTTCTGGACCCTTCTCTCCCATCCCCCATCTGACTCACTGTCCTGCTGGTCTCCCCTGTGACCTTCCATATTGCTCCAAGGAAAGCTAGGTCCCCAGATTCCCCACCCTGGACCCCTCTCTCCCTAGGTGGCCTGGGAGCCCTGTGCCCCACCCCCACCTTGCCAGGTCTTGCAGAAGACTGGGAAGGGCTGTGGGGGCCTGCAGGTCCAGGGGCAGACTCAGCTCCACAACTTCCCAGCTGTGTGACAAGGGCAAATCCCTCCCCCTGCCCAGCCTGTTTCCACCATCATCAGGAGGGGAGAACACATCTCTCTCACAGTGTTCCTAGGAGATCTCGGAGCCCGGGGAACATGGCCGTCCTCCCCATGCCAGGACCCCATCACTGGGTAACCCCACCCATGCTGTGCCTCTACCGGGAAGGCCCTTCCTCTCCTGCTGGTCAGGCCGTCCACTCAGCTGCTCCCCAGGCAGCTCCAGGGCAGGGGTGCCCGTAGGCAGGGATGAGACTCTTGACAAGGCCACAGAAGGAGCAGCCGGGTGACCACTTACAAACGCCAATGCCTGAAAGAGAAAGAAGGAGATATGGACCTCAGAGTTGGCTGGCCACCCAGAGAGGTCCTTGTTTCCTCCAAGGGTGGCCTCCTCTACAACCCCCTTCTCCACCTGCTGTGCCCACTCCAGCCTGAGAGCTGCTGTCTGCTGGAGAAGATCCCATTTTCCCAGATCCCTTCGGTAAGCAGTGGGCTTCTTGAGGCCATGGATGGCTGGAGGACGGGCCTGTGGCCCTGGGAGGGCTGTGGCAGGAGCAGCAGGGAACACGGGCTGCCATGGCAGAAGAGCAGGGTTGTGGGGGAGGGGTTGGGGAGGAATGTTCTCTCCCACTCTCCCTGTCTCCAAATGCAGAGTTGTGGGGGTGTCCTGAGATAGAGGATCGCGGAGCAGAGGGACAGCAGGAGCAAGCAGAGACTGGTCCTCTGGCCCCAAAGACAAGGCGGAGGCAGTTTTGCCAACGGGTGTAAAGCAGGTGCAGAGAGCCCCAGGGCTGAGGGCTGAGAAGGGGTGAGCCCTGGGGTTTGGCTTAGAAGAGAACCTCCCTTCCATGGCCTGCTGGAGAGGGGTGGAAGAGAAGGTGAGGTATCTTTTCTTCTGAATCTAGGGCCTTCCCTGACCCCGCCCCTTGCCCATTTCCAGGGATTCAGGTGACACCACTGGGGCCTCTGCAGAAATAGGGGTGGGCACGGGGCCCAGGGCTGGAGGGGGTGGGCACTGGGCTGGAGGAAGCAGAGGGAGGCCCCTGCCTGTCTGTAGCGCTGGGCTGTCACTGTGAGATGCTGAGGCAGCGGAGGTATCACGGCAGGGGAGGAGGGGAGAGCCCGTGGCTGCCTTTCCTTTCTCCTGCCCGGCTCAACAGCTTTCCGGGTTGGTTTGCCTGGGTGTCTTTCCTATTTCCCGCAAACCACTAAGGCGCCTCCACATCCAGATGTCATAGCAACCGCCTCCCCCACGCCCATTCCAACCTGTCGCCCCCTACCTTTCTGCTCTGGGCCTGGCAGATGAAGTGGCTGCAGCAGAATTCCTTCCTTCTGGTTCCCCACTTTGGCCAAGGAGAGGCAACAGGTCGGCCGAACTCAAATAGTTTCTCGTGCCCGGTGGAAAGGGCCCGTTTAGCGAGTTTCTGCGCGATCCGGGTCGGGCTGCGACTGGGGCCGGGGCTTGGTGGCCGTCCCCCTGCTGCGAAGGTCTCGAGTGGAGGGGCCCGGGCCGCCCCGCGTCCGCCCCCCGCCGCATCCCTGGGGCTCTCGGCCACCCCGCTGTCCTTCATGCTGGCGTCCTGACCCAGGGCAGGCGGGTGGGCGGGGGGCGACCCTTCCCCCGGGCCACTGGCGCTGCGGCGGCACTCACTCGATCCGCACCTGCAGGCGGACGTTGAGCATCACCGAGGCCACGATGTAGAAGTAGGGGAAGTTCATGCGCAGCCGCCAGGCCAGGTCGAAGAAGGTGAGCAGCGTGCGCGTGAGCCCCTTGCAGAAGGCGCCGTAGGAGCTGCGGGCTGCGGCCGAGCGCGACAGCCGCACCGCCAGGCCCGACAGGGCTGCCGCTGCCGCCGCCGCAGACAGAGCCGCAGACGCCGCCATGGGCCCGGGCCGGCGCAGGCCCTGCCAACCGACAGACAGACAGACAGACAGGAGCAGAAGCCTAGCGGGCGGCCAGACGCGAGGACTGGAGAACCCGGCCAGCAGCTTGGCGTCCTGCCCGCCCCGCCCTCGCCCTCGCCGGCCACCAACAGCTCCGCCCCCTCACTGCGGGCCGGCGCCAGCGTAGCCCCGCCCCTAGCGTAGCCCCGCCCCTTGCCTGGAGCTGCAGAGGCCGCCTGGGCACCGCCAACGTGGACCTGGCGCCCGGCCCCGCCCCTCCCTCTGGCCCCGCCTACTCCCGGGTCCAGGTTCTCCTGGGAGCTGTGCCTGAAGCCAGAGCGGTTTGGAAGGCGGAGCTGCCAGGGATGGTTTTGTGGAATCCCCTAGAGTGGAGTGGGAGTGGAGAGCTGGACGTCTGCACCGCTTTGCTGATTCTGTACAGAAAGCACTTCCAGAAGGCCTGGCCCGTTCACAACACTCCCCCTTCTCCCACGGTGTCCCCAGAAAACCCTACCAGCCAACCCGTTGTACCTTTCTTTAATTCGCACAGTGCAGTAACTGCACTATGGAGTGCCACCAAACCTACATGCGTGTATTGTTTCCCTTTCTGGTATATGTGCTGGTCGCATATATTTATTGGTGAATTTTCCCGTTGTCTTTCCCTTTCTGAGCACTCCTCTTAATCCATTGCTTGCTCTAGTTGCTGCACAAGGTTGCCTCAGGTTCTCATTTGCACTTGTTTATGGCCTTTGTTGCTCCTGTGCTTAAAAGCCTTTTCGTGGTTTCATTTAATCTTTATTAAAGGTAAATTAATCCAAACCCAACCCAAACCCAGTCATGTTTTTCCAGACTATTTCCTGAAGCAGGGAAATGCTCACGGTTCGTTATGGTCATGGCTTTAAGAAAACTGTCTGCAAAGAAGTAGGTTCACCATGACCCCATCCCAGTTTTCACAAGGACTGACCTGGGTATTTAGGCCTTCTCAACTTGCCTGTTTGCTGGCGCACTTGAACATCTCTATAGCATCCTGTGGAACTGTTTAAGGAACTTAGCAGAGTCACACACACACTGATTGGGTAATTGTCCTATCTTCTAGGTCCAATAAAAAGTAGCCAGTTACAGAGCCACTAAGTTATTGCGTGATATCATGATTTTGTCAACAACACATCCAAGCGTGGGTATAAATGCATCCAAAAATGCCAGGGTAGATGTATCAAATTGCTCAACGTTGTTCTGGTTTAGGCTGTAAGAAGGAAGACTTACACTTTTTACTCCTGAAGGAGTGCAGGAAATTTCACCCTAAAATGTCACTCCTTTGTGTAAAGTGTATTTTAAATTAAAGACCCTGAGAGATAACAGGCTTTGGAAGGGGCTTTCCCTCTATTTCCATAAAGACCGGAGGGAACCATCAAGAACAATTGTCTTTCTTTTCCCACCTGGTGTTATCTCATTATCTTTTTCAGGAAAGAAGGTCAAGAATGCAACTAGACTTGGCCCAAACCTTTTGCAAAATAATGCCTATTTCTCAGGTTAATTTAGTTTCCAAAGTGACTCATTTGCAAGTCAATCTGCTTTCCCCCATCCATTCATTCTCCCAAATATCTATTCATCCTCCCTAGTAACCATTTATTTGCTCCTCAAGCAAATTATTCATATTCCCTATCTCCATCCTTTCCTCTGAAAATGAGGATATATAAATATTTATATATCCTCATATATAAATATATGAGGATATATAAATATTTGGGTCTCATTAAGATATTGTGCAATCACTCTTTGATACTCCCAGAGTGTACGGTAACAATAAAATTTGTATATCTTTTCTCTAATTAATCTGCTCTATTGTGAGGTGATCTTTCAGTGAACCTTCCCAGGACAAAGAAAGTTTTCCCTCTGCCCCAACTCTTCCTATATATATGTATGTATATCCATATATATATCTATAAGTATTACTTATATAATACAATGAAAAGATAACTGAAAAAGAAAGAGCCACTGAAATATAGACTTAAGCCACATAGAAACTTTTTGGTCTAAATTGGATTGAGCCCTATTCATTTGAAGAACCTGGTTCCTCCAGTCATTTCTGAAACATCTCCTTGGCCTCATCTCATTTTTTTAACATTTAATATAATTATAGACTCATAGGAAATTGCAAAAATAGTACCAAAAGACCTTGTGTCTTTTGTCCAGCTTCCCCCAATGGTGACATTTTCTGTAGATATAGTATAATATCAAAACCAGGAAATTGACATTGGTACATTACTATTAACTAATAACTAGACTACAGGCCTAATTTTGCTTTCAATATTTTTTAAAACTGCATTAATGTATGTGTGCATGTACAGATCTAACAATTTTATATCATGAAAAGATTTGTGTAAGCACCACTACAATAAAGATACAGAAATGTTCCATCACCCAAAAGTAATTATTTGAATTCACACTCAGCCAACCTGCACATATTTCCTCAGATTTACACCTATTTCGTACTTTTTAGAGTGACTGTGAATGGTATTGGGAGTTTAATACATGTGAGGACTGAACTCTGATCTTTTCTTTTGCCCCCAAATTCCTTTCTAAGGAGGCCTGGTGAGTCATGTCTACAAATGATAAAATCTCACTAAACAGGTTTTGTTAACCCAATATAATGTGGTTTACTTCCCAGCCTGATTCTGGTACAGCATCACATAAAACATAGAAGACCCTTATCTTAATTTCTTTCCACTGACTCCTGGTCTTTTAGACAAAGCCTTACTCTTTCAGCCAATTGTCAACTAAACAATCCCTAAACCCACCTATAACTTCTAAGCCCCTGCTTTGAGATGTCCCACCTTTTAGGGCCAAACCAATGTATGCCTTCCAAGTATTGATTTATTACTTTACTTGTAATTCTTGTTTCCCTTAAATGTATAAAACCAAATTGTAATCCAGCCATAGCTGAGTCCACTTGCTCAAGGCTTCTTTGCCTTGTCTCCTAGCCATGGTCCTCAAATTTGGCTCAGAATAAACCTCTTTAAATTGTTTTATAGAGTTTGGCTTCTTTTCCATTGACACATTTTACACATGTTAAACATTTGGTTTCCACATGTTCACTGTTAGTATATAGAATTTCAATTAATATTTTAATTAAACTTTTCATTCTGAGATAATTGTAGATTTACATGCACTTGTGAGAAAAAGTAGAGAGAGATCCCCTGTATCCTTTAACCGTTTGCTACAATGGTAACATCTTTCAAAACTATAGTTCCATATCACAGCCAAGATACTGGTATTGATACAATCCATCATTTTTCTTTGAGATAAGAGTCTTGCCATTTAGTGCTGGCTAGAGTGCAGTAGACTACATCATAGCTCACTGCAGCCTCAAATTCAGCTCAAGTGACCCTCCTGTCTCAGCCTGTTGAGTAGCTGAGACTACAGGTACATACCACCATACCTGGCTAATTTTTTCTATTTTTAGTAGATACAAGGTCTAGCTCTTGCTAAGACTTCAGGGTCAGACCCTTGAACTCCTGACCTAAAGGGATCCTCCTGCCTCTGCCTCCCACAGTGCTCCCAGATTACTGATGTGAGCCTCAGTGGCCTCAGTCCATCTGTTCTATTCAGATTTCCCTCATGTTGCCCTTTGTAACCAAACTCACTTCATGAAATAAAAAAAAAAAAAACCCACAAACTGACTTTCATCCAGCTCTCCTTCCGTATAATGACTGGCAACCACTAATCTGTTGCCTATTTCTATATTTTTTTCATTTCAGGAATGGTCTACAAATGGAATCATACAATATGTAACCTTGGGGGATTGGCTTTTTTCACTCAGTGTCATTTCTGTGGACAGTCATCCAAGTTGTTGGGAGTGTCACGTGTCAATAGTTAATTTTGTTGTTGTTGCTGAGTAGTATTCCTTGGGATGGTTGTACCACAGTTTATTTAACCCCGGGGGTCCTCAAACTTTTTAAACAGGGGGCCAGTTCACTGTCCCTCAGACAGTGAGGGAGGGCCGTTGGAGGGCCGTTGGAGGGCCGTACTATAGTTTAAAAAACACTATGAACAAATTCCTATGCACACTGCACATATCTTATTTTGAAGTAAAAAAACAAACGGGCAAAAGCACCTGCATGTGGCCTGCGGGTGGTAGTTTGAGGACGCCTGATACCATTCACCAATGAAGTACATCAGGGTGTTTCCAGTTTGGGGCTATCAGGAAATAAAGCTGCTAAGAATATTCACTTACGGGTTATAGTGTGAACATAAATTTCCGTTTCTCTAGGATAAATGCCTGATTGCTGGGTCTTAAGGTAAGTGCACGTTTAGTTTTTAAAGAGTGTGCCAAACTGATTCCAGAGTGGCTCTAACATTTTCCATTCCCATCAGCAACTTATGAGTATATCCAGGTTCTCTGCGTCCTTGCCAGTATTTGGGTATTATCACTATTTTTTTTATTTTTGCCTTTCTGATAGGTATAAAGTGATATTTCACTGTGGTTTAAATTTGTACTGCGCTAATGACTAATGAATGTGGTCATCTTTTTATGGTGCCTATTTACTATCTGTATATCCTTTTTGGTAAAATGTTTTTTTTCCATTTTTTAAGTGGACTATTTATCTTTTTACCGTTCAGTCTTTTTCCTATATTCTAGATATGAGTCCTTTGTCAGATATGTGGTTTTCAAATCTTTTCCTCCTGGTCTGTAGCTTGTTTTTTTCACTGTGTTATCAGGGGCTTTCTCTGAGCAAAAGTTTTTCATTTTTTTTTTTATCAGAACTTGACAGTCAGCACAGTGAAAAGTTTTTCATTTTGATGAGGTCCAGTTTATTTACTTCCTTTATGTATGGATTATGGTTTTGGTGCCATGTAGGAACTCTTTATCAAAGCCTTAGGTCCCAAAGATTTTTCTTCTGTGTTTTCTTTTAAAAGTTTTATTGTTTTATATTTCACATTTATGTTTGTGGTCCGTTTTGAATTAATTTTTGTGCAAGGTTTGAGGCTTAGGTCCAGATTCAACTTGTGCCTATGGATGCATAATAGAGAACAATTTGTTGGAAAGGCTATTCTTTTTTCATTGAATTTCTTTTTCAACTTTGTCTAAAGCCAATTGAGCATATTTCTTTAGGTCTCTTTTGGTGTTCTCTATTCTGTTGTATTGGCCAATGTGTCTATTCTTTCTCTAGTCCCACGCTATCTTGATTACTTTAGCTAAATGGTGTATGTTAAATATAGGATAGAATGATTTTTCCTTCTTTATTTTTTTCCACATTTCTTTACCTATTCTAGGGCTTGTGCCTAAATGTCCATATACATTTTTTATGTTCTGACATATTTTATATATTTATGCCCTGATAATAGAATATTAAGCACATATACACATAGAACCATCATAGAAATTGATCATATATTAGGACCTTAACTCCAAAATTAGAAAGTTCCATAAAAATAGAAATATTATCACTTAGATCACAATGAAATTTGATCAATGAAATTAAATTAAATCCCTTGTTCTTTTTATTAGGGTATTTTGTTATAATTCTAGCTTTTTTCTCTTTTCTTGTTTATTTTTTATTTGTATATATTCATGAAGTACAAGTGCAATTTTGCTACATTGATATATTGCATTGTGGTGGAGTCAGGGCATATACATTTTAGAATAAACTTGTCTATGGGTACAAAAAGCCATGCTCGAAATTATATTAAATTTACAGACCAATTTAGGGAAGAATTGACATCATTTCTGTGTTGATTTTTCCAACCCATGAACATAATATGTCTCTTTTTTATTTAGATCTTCTTTGATTTCCTTCATCAAAACTGGTATAATTTTCAGCATTCATATCCTGCATATGTTTATTAAATGTACTCCTAAGCATTCATTTTATTTGAAGCAATTGAAAATGATTTTGTGTTTTTAATTTCAGTTGCCACATGCTTGTTCGTTATTAGTATGTAGAAATATGATGGAATTTTTTGTGTTCATCTTGTATCCGGTGATCTAGCTGAACTCTTGTATTACTTCTTAGAGTCTTTTTCTCAATTTCTTGGAATTTTCTAAAGAGACAATTGTGTCATCTGCATATTGAGACAGTTTTATTTCTTGCTTTCCAATATTTATTTCCTGTCCTTATTGCAATGGATAGAATTTCTAGCACTAAGTTGAATAAGAGTGGTGGAAAAGCTGACATCCCTGCCTTGTTTTGAATCTTATGGGGAAAGCATTCAGTCTTTTCCCATTAGGTGTGATGTTAGCTGTAGGGATTTTTTTGTTTGTTTCTTTGTTTTTGGAGAAAGTTTCTCAGTTGTCTCATTTTATGTTTCCTTTTTTTTTTTTTTTTTTTTTTTGCAACAGAGTCTCACTTTGTTGGCCAGGCTAGAGTGAGTGCCGTGGCGTCAGCCGCTCACAGCAACCTAAACTCCTGGGCTGAGTGATCCTTCTGCCTCAGCCTCCCGAGTAGCTGGGACTACAGGCATGCGCCACCATGCCCGGCTAATTTTTTATATATATATCAGTTGGCCAATTAATTTCTTTCTATTTATAGTAGAGACGGGGTCTCGCTCTTGCTCAGGCTGGTTTGAACTCCTGACCTTGCAATCCACCGCCTCGGCCTCCCAAGAGTAGGATTACAGGCGTGAGCCACAGCGCCCGGCTTTTTTTTTTATATATATTAGTTGGCCAATTAATTTCTTTCTATTTATAGTAGAGACGGGGTCTCGCTCTTGCTCAGGCTGCTTTCGAACTCCTGACCTCGAGCAATCCGCCTGCCTCCGCCTCCCAGAGAGCTAGGATTACAGGCATGAGCCACCACGCCCGCCCTTTTTTTTTTTTTTAATTTATTATTATTTTTTTAGGCCGGTCAAGTGGAGCAGTGGGAGTGGAGAAGGAACAAAGGAATCTGTAACTGGTTGTGATCAATTAGTTGTAAACACCACTGCACTCGGACCAACCTATGTTTCCTTTTTTATTTAAAAAATTATACTAAATAATTGTGGTAAACTAACACATAACATTTACCACGTTAACCATTTTTAAGTGTTCGGTAGTGTTAAGAACATTCATATTGTTATTCACCTTGCAAAAACAAAACTCTATACCCACTCAGCAACTCCCCATTCCCCCCTTCCCCTAGCCCCTGGCAACCACCATTCTACTAGGTATCTCAATGAATTTGACTACTCTATGTACCTTATGTAAGTGGAATCATGCTGTATTTGTCTTTTTGTCACTGGCTTATTTGTATAAAATAAAATTAATCATAGGCTTGGAAAACATTTTTTTTTGTATAAAAAGCATAAAACCATGCTTAAAAATGAATAAATCTTTAAAATCACATAAAAAATTGAAGTGAGGTTCTTGTAGACAGTATAGAGTTGGATGATATTTTTAATCCACTCTGCCAATTTCTGTCTGTTGTTATTCTTTTTTTTTTTTTTTTTTTAACAGAGTCTCGCTTTGTTGCCCAGGCTAGAGTGAGTGCCATGCCCAGCTAATTTTTTCTATATATATTAGTTGGCCAATTAATTTCTTTCTATTTATAGTAGAGATGGGGGTCTCGCTCTTGCTCAGGCTGGTCTTGAACTCCTCACCTTAAGTGATCTTCCCCCCTGGGCCTCCCAGAGTGCTAGGATTACAGGCTTGAGCCACCATGCCTGGCCTATCTGAGAATGTTTTTATTTCTCCTCCATTCATGAATGATGTATTTGCTGGATGTAGAATTCGTGGTTGACAGGGTGGGGGTGGGGGGTGGAGAGCCAACAAGTCCTGCCCTGCACCACACCACCTCCTTCAGTTTCCTTGATGCCAGATGAGAGTGACACCTAAGTGAGTGGGAAAGCAGAGTGCCAACTAGCCTTCCCTTGGAATTCCTTATCTCCCTCCTTATTTGTGGAGGAGGCCCAGCTCCCCCTAGACCCTGTTGACACAATTCCAGCAGAACTCTACCTATTTCTGCTGTGGCAGGGGTAAAAGATCAGATCCCT